ATAAATTCACCTTTGGGAACATGTTACATGTTCCACCCATTTTTAACATGTTCCCAATCCTGCAGCCGCTGCCTGCTCCATCCCCCCTCCCCCCCCCCCGTCCTTCCATATAACAGTAGTATGGGGAGAGGTTCCCCATACTAGCTGTCACTTTTAAAAACAGCGTGGCCATGCGGGGCTCTGCCCACATGGCTGTGTCGTTCATTCCCAGTGTTCCTTAGTGGCTGTTGGCATGTAGTTCTCAATGAACTACCACGGCACTGTGCAGCACCATGGTAGTTCATTGAATCTTTCTGTTGTAGTAGCATTTTTGGAAAACCAGGAAACTCCAGACACGGACCTTGAGGAAAACAAGTGATTTATCAAAACAGCGTTGAGTGACCCAGCCAGGCTCATGCCTGCAAAGCCGAGTGAGTTGTATCTACAGTACTTCTTACAAGCGTATATACCAATGATTATGTCGCAATACATACATTCCTTCTTTCACTTTCTATACACTCAAGGCTTTCTAAACTCTGCAAAATATAAACCTTGGAATAGCAGCTGCAGATAAGGGTACTAGCTACAAACTGGTACATATCACTCATAGGAAATAAGGGGGGGGGGGGATATGAGCCGAAAACTTTGCTTTGCAAGCAGAGGCTACATAGAAGTGTTACAGTTTAAAGGGGAACTCTACAATATCTGGGTGCTACCACACTGTCAGTATATCTGCTTGCCTGTACATCCTCTACCAGCAAGCAGATATACTGACAGGTCTGCAGGAGACCTGCATGGCACCAACAATCTGCTGATCGCTGGTGCAATGCTTTATAGGCTCCTGCAACCAAAAATAATAAATGCTAATTTTTTTTAAGTGCGAAAAAAATGTGTATTTATTATTTTTGGTCAAAATGTGAACTTATCCTTTAAAGAGACTTTGCAAGAGAACAATTTTTGTTATACATTATGGGCTTGAAAAAGTAATGAGCTACCATGTAGAGCCTCTTTATAAAAGCATTTGAAAAGTGTATGAAAAGAATTGTTTGTGGTGCAATCTGAATCTCCTAAGGGAAATACTGACAATAAAACTTCAGGTGCTTTTCAGAAGTTTATACAAGTGCCTTTCTGTAACAAAATCCTTGACAAGAGACAATATACTACTTAACTCAAGTTGTTCGGATTCTGCTGAATAATGAAGACACCACAAAGGCTACAAATCTAATAAAAAAAAACAAAACGCAAATGCACTGCAGAAAAAGACAAAATGCAAACTGCATTGGTGTGAACCAGGCCTTAGAGTGTAGGCCTGTTTTGGGGGGGGGGGGGGGGGGGGGTTATAAGAAATAGCCCTCAGCAAAATGGATATTGCACTAAACCTGTAGCTAAATAAGAGAACCAGAACCTTCACTAAGTGGAAGAGTGAGTTTGATAAGAAGGCTCTATGCACACGGGGCGTTTTGATTACGCTGGTAATGTTAGCTGTGTAAAGTCACGTTAAAAACGTGAGTTTTTCAGCTTTTTTTAGTGTTTTTTTGCATTAGCGTTTAGCTGCGTTTAGCAGAGTTTTCCACGTTTGCGGTTTTTAGCGTTTTTTTTTTACCCAAAAAAGTTTTTGTTTGGTCAAAAAAAGTGCACAAATGCCGGTTTGTGGAGTTTTACTGCATTTTACAGCATTTTTCAGTGTTATAGCGTTTTTACAGCTAAAAAAAAACTCCTGTAGAAACCCACTTGTTCTGGGGGGTTTTTTTACAGCCAAAAAACATTGATTACAGTCTATGTGTGCATGGACACACAGGATAACATGCTGGGGGGTTTACTAGCTGTAGGAAAAAACGTCAAAAGCCAAAAACAACCGCTGTAAAAACGTCCACTGTGCATGAGGACTAAAGCTGGTAGTGCCTCCACCCAGGCAGGGGCGTACTTAACACAAGGGAAACAAGGCACTTGCCTAGGGTGGCAATTTTCAAGGGGGCAGCACCTCCCCTAGAAGAAGGGATGGAAGAAGGGACAAGTGCACTATGGGAACCAGGTTGGATCTGAGAGAGGCTGTGGGCTGCTTGATGATGTATGTAGAGCCTGACACTCATTCCCTGGGATGTCCAGAGCTGTGAAGATGGGTGTTTTTCTCTCTATTGCCGGGGGTAGTGGAAGTTTCTCTCAGGTGGGGGGCAGGGGTGTTATTGGTCAATGTCAGGCTCTCTCTCCGCGGGAGAGGGAAGGGGGGGGTTGGTCGTGTCCGTGGGGGCAGGCGATTTTTGTGTTGCCTAGGGCAGCACAAAACCTAAATACACCACTGCACCCAGGACAGAGCCTCTGTAAACAGAGGGAATTCCATATCTGGGAAAATTAACCAGTAATCTAATCAAATTGGGAGCAGAAGAACGTCACCCAGCATATCACATTAACCATAGGCATATACTGTAAATGCACACCAGTATAGAAATATTGCAAGCTTCATATAAGTAAAAATTAAAGTGGAGCTCCACCCAAAAGGGGAAGTCCTGCAGAAGTACACCACAGGATCGGGGGACAGGTGAAGTGACTGTTTTTCTAAAGTCAGCAACTACAGTTTTTGTAGCTACTGACTTTTATTTTTTTTTAGGTTTGGCTGGAGCTTCACTTTAGTAACAGTACATACATTCAATGTACAAACAGGTATTATCAACAAAGGGCCCTATAGGAGTCCTGGTGGAATTTTGCACATATACCTGGGTGTATATAGTTTTTTATAGAGATACCTCCAGATGAATGTTGCAGCAAAGTCCAGTTGCAGGGGCCCCTTAGGATGATGTGGCATCTGTATTTATGTCGGAAACCTGAAGACATGATCTGTGGTGATGTGGAGACCCTCCAGCCAGGGGCGGACTGACCATTTGGAAACTCGGGCACTGCCCGAGGGCCCGGGGTCAGTAGGGGGCCCCATGAGATGCCCCTGGTACCTTTTTCATAGGCTTTTTTGAGTTTGGGCAAGGTCACAGGGGCCCCATGATCCCCTATTGCCCGGGGGCCCCGTGAGTTGTCAGTCCGCCCCTGCCTCCAGCCATTGCCCAATGATACCCAACCAACCTGGAACACAGTCCTAGTTATCTGGCACTGTGCATGTGAGATAGTAATAGGATAAAGAGTTACTCTGTCATTAGCATTCAGCAATACACTCCAGAAGCTATGGGCAGTTGCAGCTAAACTATTAGAACATAAAAATACTTTCATAATCATCTCTTCTGATCTGGTATTAGCAGCATGGACAGGTCATGTATTTGAGACCTCTCTCTCCACTTCCTCCCTCCAGGATCTTTCCCAGCAACCCCAGGGTTAAGAAGTGGCATACATAATTACACATTACAGTGTGCTACTAGCAGCTGACAGTAAAGGGCAGTGGAACACATACACATGGACTTTCACTGGGCAAATGTTTTTTTCTGTAAATGCCCCCTTTAACAAAGGGTTTTGAAAGCTACATATTGCATACTTATTATACACCTACACTGGCTTTTTTGTATTAGTATTTTGCTTTATGTGTTATAATTATGATATTGGCATTTATGTGACTATGTATGTATGTAGGTGCTGTCCCACATGGAAGAAAAATATATTTGAAATATATTTTAAAAATATTCTTCCCAGATATATTGACATATATTTGAAATGCTACAATTTTGGCCATATTCAATATATATTTCAAAATATATTTCAATATATCAATATATACATACTGCATGTTGAAATGCGTTTTTATTACAAAATATATGAAAAATATTTTCAAAAATACATTTCAAATATACTGTATGTCTTTAAAAATACAAATCTACATTTTTGGAATTCATTTACAAATATATGTAAACATCTATGTTAAAATGACTTTTTTATATGTTAAAAAAATCTGAAGAATATATTTTAAAAAAATATATTTTTTAAAATATATTTTTGCAGATTTTTTTTAACATATATATATATATATATATATATATATATATATATTACAATTTTAGAAGATTATTAAAATTTGGGAAGAATATTTATTAAAATATATTTCAAATATATTTTCCTTCCATCTGGGTATGTCAAAGATATAGACAAAAAAGCAAAAGATTAAGGTCACATGATCAATAAACATGCACTTTCTTTATTTCCTAGGTTTACACAAGGTTTAATGCAGTGTATGTAAAGGGCAGCTCCGTGTGTATACAGGGACACCATTGCTTCCAGATTAAGCATTAATACGACAGACACACCCAAAATAATTCCCGTCTACATTCATGCTCTCTTACCACATCCATATGCCCCATCCAGGTGTAGCAGACAGCTGGGAAATAAACCGGGTCATTTTGGTAAAATGTTTTTCCTCACCTATTCTGCTTTCTTGACACAAGCAATGATGAAGTGCAAGGTGCAGGGACAGAGATCAACCAATCAGATTTCAACTTTCATCAAATGTTAGCATAATGAAGAAAGAGTTGAGAATGATTGATATGGGTTTCTGCTCATTGTCATAAGGTAAAACAACCAGGTGCACAGGGCAGCAATCTACCAATCAACACGTATTGTTTAAAATGTTTTAGCTGATGAATGCTAATATTGGACTGACTGATCATATGGTTGTTATGTACAGTACATTTAAATGTGACTACATTAGGCAGCTATAAAATATATCCACTAATACAGTTAAGTATTTAATAGAACAAAAATTAACACTTTTTAAAGTGTTACTAAACCCACAACAGTAAAATAATTCTGTATATGCAGTAAAGCATGCTTGTTTTACTCACTGTGGAACCTAAGGGGTTAATCCTCTGCAATTTGTAAAAAGGCAGTTTGATCCTGACTTCTCTGCTCCTCCTCTTGTTCAAATGTCCACGTTTCATCTCCTGATAAGACAGACTGAATGCGTAGTCACATGCACATGCTCAGTTTGGTGTTTATTGCTAGAAAGGTTTTTTTTCTTTTCTTGGGAGAGTGCATGTGATCAGCACAGGGCCAATCAGCACTGTCCAGACAGAGGTCAGGGGTTTTGCATCCTCCTAGAGCAGAAATAAATCTCCTCCTACTTTAACCAGTGCTCTGTTGAAGTCACAAGACTGCTCTAACTGCTGATGAGAAAAGGTATTTAGCAGTTTATATTTACTAAAATTATTGCATTTCCATGTTCCATGTACTGTGGGAGACCAGATATAGGGAATGCAGGGTCCTGGGTTTAGTAAAACTTTAAGTTGACTAATGTAAATACCTGCATTTGTGTTAATATCAACTTCCCATACTCTGGCTGGGAAAGGAAGGGACAGCCCTAGGAGCCAATTAGATTTTGCTGAAATGCACATAAGCTGACAAGCAGCACGCTGACAGGAGGAGAGAACAAAGAGGGCCGCTGATAAGGGGGTACCACCGGGCCTCCCGTAGGAGGCTGGGGCCCTGTCACCCAGCAGGGGGGCCCAGCCGGAAGCTTCAGACTTCATGTAGGATGTCACTATGTTTAGTCAGTCAGTTTATATAATATATTGTTCCCCGCCAGAGCCCCAGGCAACCATTCTCCCTGCTGGGCTGAGGGGGGGGGGGCGCCATCTGGAGTGGGGAGACTATAGATCGCGGCCGTCGGGGGCTTTGTTTTTCTTTTTCAGGTGGACTTGTAGTAGCAATTTTGGAAAACCAGGAAACTCTGGACACGGACTTCTGAGGAAAACAAGTGATTTTTTAAAAACAGCGCTGTTTTGACCCAGCCGGGCTCATGCCTGCAAAGCCGAGTGATTTGTATCTACTTCTTACAAGCGTATATACCAATGATTATGTCACAATGCATACATTCCTTCTTTCACTTTCTATACACTCAAAAGGCTTTCTAAATTCTGCAAAATATAACCTTGAAATAGCAGCTGCAGATAAGGGTACTAGCTACAAGCTGGTACACATTACTTTACAGGAAATAAGGGAGGGGAGAGTTAGCTGAAAACTGCTTTGCAAGCAGATACTGTTAGAAATGTTACAGTTTAAAGGGTAACTCTGCAGTAGACTTATATACTAGTGATTGGGCTTGCCTTGCACACTGCCTGACTCCTCCAGCAAGGGACTGCTGAGGGAATCATGCAGAAGAAGAGCGCTGGCAGGCTAGGGGAGGTTGGCTGGAGCTGGAAGGGATCAGGGTGCAGGTCCACTCAGCAGGCAGGCCAGCAGTGGAGACACAGAGGGATTATTTATTTATTATTATACAGGATCTATATAGTGCCAACAGTTTGTGCAGCGCTTTACAAAATGGGGATGTCCAGCTCTGAGCCTCTGGCAGAATTCACAGGACAGGTCCAGTGTCCCATGACATGAGAGCAGAGTAGCCACTTGAGCTCCAGGAGATTTTACTCCCTTCATGACCAGGCCATTTTTTGCTATTTAGCAGTGCGCTACTGCAACGCTGTACACAAACAAAATAGATATTTTTTTTCACATAAATAGAGCTTTCTTTTGGTGGCATTTGATCACCGCTAGGTTTCTGCTTTTTTTTGCGATACAAACGAAAAAAGACCAAAGATTTTGAAAAATAACAATAATTTATACTTTCTGCTATAAAGCATATCCAATAAAAAAATTTTAAAAATCACATTTCTTCATAAATTTTGACCAAAATGTATTCTGCTACATGTCTGGTAAAAAAAAATCCCAATACATTTATGTTAATTGGTTTGTGTGAGGGTTATACAAACTATGGATATATACTGGAAATTTATGTATTTATTTATTTTTTTATACTAGTAATGGTGGCGATGGGTGACGTGTACTGGGACTGTGATAGTGCAGTGGCAATCTGACACCAAGTGACAGTTTGTGGGAAATGACTAACTGCCACTGACATCACCAGTGACACTAATACAGTGATCAGTGATGATACTATACATTGACACGGTACTAATGACACTGGGCAGGAAGAGGTTAATATCTAGGGGCAATCAAAGGGTTGTGTCTAGCAAGTGTAAGGTTAGGCTCACATCTGTGCGGGTGGTGCCGCTCCAGATCCGCACAAAAATCCGTGCAGCCGCACCACCCACACAGAAGAATGCAGACCCGCGGGCAGGTGCCAATAATTCTAATGACATACCGCCCGCACTGGAAATCGCAAGGTTCCCGTGTGGGCTGCGGTCTCCAAAGAAGTGCAGGGACTTCTTCCCTGCTTGTTACGGGCACAGGAGTCCATTCAAATGAATGGGCTCTTGTGCCCGCGCAAACGCGGCCTGCAGGAACGCACATATGTGAACCAGGGCTTAATGTGTGTAATATGTGCTGATTTTACTAATGGCTGTTGTTGTTTTTTTACCCTGCTTAGCAGGGGATGAAAAAAACAACAAGATGGCATGGTCTTGGCCACCGTGCTGTAACTCAGTTTCAGGGTCTTGGCAATCTTCTTATAGCCTAGGCCATCTTTATGTAGAGCAACAATTCTTTTTTTCAGATCCTCGGAGAGTTCTTTGCCATGAGGTGCTATGTTGAACTTTCAGTGACCAGTATGAGAGAGTGAGAGCGATAACACCAAATTTAACACACCTTCTCCTCATTCACACCAGGAGATCTTGTAACACTAATGAATCACATGACACCGAGGAGGGAAAATGGATAATTGGGCCCAATTTGGACATTTTCATTAAGGGGTGTCCTCACTTGTGTGGCCAGCGGATTAGACATTAATGGCTGTGTGTTATTTTGAGGGGACAGCAAATTTACACTGTTATACAAGCTGTACAATCACTACGTCACATTGTAGCAAAGTGTCATTTCTTCAGTGTTGTCACATGAAAAGATAGAATCAAATATTTACAAAAATGTGAGGGGTGGACTCACTTCTGTGAGATACTGTATTTTATTTAATATATTTTGGTGTCATACATCTCTGGAGTCTTCATAGGCATTTTTTTTCTTCCAAATGAAGGAGGGTCTTACTTAACTAAGCACACCCTTCTGCCTGTATAGCTGAGCTAAGGGCAGATGGATTACAGGAAGTAAATGCTACATGATTCTTCTGCCGTTACATAGTATGGCTGCAGCTAGAAATGCTAGAGGGGTGATTCCTCAAGAAAATAAATCCATGGAGACATGGATGGATGGGGGAGTCACATGTGCTCAGGGTGAACCTGCTCTCTTCTGTGAAAAGCACAGGGTGCCAGTGGAGGACCTGCCAATTCTGGTGTTCAATGGCAAATGGCAATTGAGCTCTATGGTGCCGGGCAGTGAGCACAGGGCCCACTAGAGGACATCGGGCTCTCAGGCCACCCTCATGAAGACTGTTTCTGTATGTTTGGTCAGAGACATTCACACCAGTGGCCTGCTGGAGGTCATTTTGTAGGGCTTTGGCAGTGTTCATCCTGTTCCTTCCTCCTTGCACAAAGGAGCACATACCGGTCCTGCTGATGGGTTGAGGACCTTCTACAGCCCTGTTCAGTTCTCCTAGAGTAACTGCCTGTCTTCTGGTATCTTCTCCATGCTCTTGAGACTGTGCTGGGAGACACAGCAAACCTTCTGCAAACCTTCTGGCAATGGCATGTATTGATGTTCCATCCTGGAGAAGTTAGACTGCCTGGCAACCTCTGTAGGGTCCAGGTATTTCCTCATACTACCAGTGGTGACACTGACCCTAGCCAAATGCAAAACTAGTGAAAAACAGTCAGAAAAGATGAGTAGTGAAAAAAATGTCAGTGGCCTCCACTTGTAAAACCATTCCTGTTTTGGGGGTCATCTCATTGTTGCCCATCTAGTACACCTGTTGTTAATTTCAATAACACCAAAGCAGCTGAAATTGATTAACAACCCCCTCTACTACTGAACTGACCAGATAAATATCCCAGGAGTTCCATTGACTTGATGCCGTACTCTGATTAAAAAGTGTTCCTTTTTTGGAGCAGTGTATATACATGTATAGCACGCACGCACGCACACACCTGTGTGTAAACTATATATAAAATTTATATTGATACATTTTTTAACTATATATATATATATATATATATATATATTTCTTCTTAAAAAAAAAACCAATACTTATATAATTAATATTTTTTCCAAAACTTTTTTTATGATTAATAATTGAATTCCTAATAATTAGACACGTCCTGTATTCTGCTGCCATCCAGTGGCAATTTATGAGAACTACACAGCTTCATCACTTCCGTTCCGAATCCTGTGCTCAGAATATTCCTTTCTGTCACACATGATAGACCAGCATTTGTTTTCTGATAAACGTCTGCCCGAGGCAAGTAATGTTTTACAGAGATTTCAGAGAATTGAACTTTCTCTTACCCACATCCAGTATGGCAGAACGAGTCACGAAGTCTCTGTCTGCACATGCTCGTTCGGTGAGCGGCATTTCCGGAGTCCCAGGCCGTTGCTAGGATACAGTAAACAGCCTGGGATCTGCAGTGGGGGATTTGGAGATCAGTGATCAGGCATTGATAGCTGGGGATGTCTGATATTGATTATTGGAGGGGGGAGGGGAGGCCGAGAGTGAAGAGAACCTGTCACTGAGGAGCTTTATTGATAATATTAATTATTGGAGGGGGAGGGGAGGCTGGGAGTGAAAAGAACCTGTCACTCAGAAGCTTTATTGATGATATTGATTATTGGAGGGGGGGAGGCTGGGAGTGAAGAGAACCTGTCACTCAGAAGCTTTATTGATTATTGGAAGGGGGAGGGGAGGCTGGGAATGTAGATAACCTTTCACTGAGGAGCTTTACCTGAACTTTATTCATAATATTGATTATTTATTACCACCCCTTCCGCATGCTGGGATAGAGGGATCCCATGTTGCTGCTGCACATCTTGCCCGAGGGTCAGCATATAAAATATTTGAAAGCACTTTCATGAAAAAACACGAGCGCTGTGGCATCTATGTACTCATTGGGGGCTCATTATGTCTGACACTCCAGCTTGAGTGTTGGTCACCCACCGCACCGACTGACTTCTGGCTCTAGAACACTGACTCCCAAGATCGCCGCATTCTGCACATTTTCTGTACTGATCTGTTTGCAGCCCATTGTTTTTAATAGGCCTGTACATACTGGGGTTACTAACGCTCTGTGTAGATCAGTAGGAAAAAAAAAATCTGCACTGCTGGTCGGTATTTTGCGCACGTACACGCGTGTGCATGCAAATACGCATGCATGCAACACTCCTTAAGAGAGGCTAGAGGAATTTTTACACGCTTGGATATATATGTTTGAA